CCCCGGGGGCGAAGCTCTTCCGCGACAGCATCTCGGACTTGGAGCGCTGCTGGCTGCGGGACCGGGGACAGGGTCAGGTGGCCGGGAATGTGAAGGGCCAGGTCGGCTGGGTCTGCAGACCTGGTCCGTGGCCTGCGCCTCGCCTCCCCGGCGGGCCTCCCACGGTGAAGGGGAGGCTCCCGCGCCTGTCTCGGGTCAGCGCGAAGCCTCACGGTGGCGAGGAGTTGATGAAAACGCTGTGATCCACAGGGCGGGGCCTCATTATTACCTGACAGCCACCTGTCTGTGCTCACCCCCTCAAGCCCCCGTGGGCGCTGTGGATCCTTGGTGATAACAGGCCCTGTCCTGCCTCAAACTGACCACCAAGTTACCTCTTGGGCACAGGCCAGAGGGACCCCTGCACCGGTACGTGGGAGAGAAAGGCACCCTCTGCTGTCCTTCAAGGCAGAGGAGGCGGGTGAGGAAGGTGCTCTTCAGCGGGAAGCAGCCACACAACACTGGCCACAATCTCGGCCTCCCACGCGCGGCTGTGTGGCCCTGGGTGAGTCCCCCAGCCTCCCTGGAGCTTTCAGTGTCCCCAAGTTAAAATGGGGACATTAACAGTACCTGCCTTGTAGAGTGAGACAATCAAATGCAGCCAAATCACGTGTAGCGTGTCTGGCATTTCACCTTTCACGTAACAAATGATCAAAAAAGATGGGGCTGGTCAGTGGGGTTTTCTAGAGGCCGTAGGGTCAAGTGGAGAAGGGCAGGGAAGTGTGGACAGATGGGGGTCTAGAGTACCACCTGAGGCCCGCAGTGACTTCTACAGTGTCCTCGCTTAGCAAGTGTGGGAAGGGGTTTCTCACTGAAAGAGAACGTGGCAGGGTAACCTAGGACGGCGGACAGCGGTGCCACCTGGTAAAACAGCCTGGGACCCACCCTGCCTGCCGCGCCTGCCCCGAGCCCGGCCCAGAGCCGCCCTCCCGGCCCGTTCACCTGAGCCTGAAGCTGTCGCGGTCCTCCCTGTTATACTCCACGGCGGAGGGCCCCCGGCTTGCCCCGCTGCCGCCTCCCATGACACCTGACCAGTAGTCGGCATTGCTCTCCAAGTCCCGGGACACAGGGAACTGCTTGCTTCGCATCTGATGGTAAGACTGGCGGAAACTGCCATCGTCCTCGTGTAGGGAGCTGAGTTCTGAGATGGTGTTGTTATCTGCAGGGACAAAACGAGGCACGACAGAGCTTTCTACCTGCTGGACAGGACGGGAACTCTGGTAAGAGCGAGACCAGGAGCCTCTGGGAACTCCCACCCCAGGGCCTCAGCCCCGTTCTGTCCAGGGTGGGTGGAGACCTGAACTAGCGGTGTCTGTGCTCTCAGCTCAGCAGGCGCTGGCTCCAGCTCGAAGCTCACTTGCCTACAGAGTGGGAGGCTCCCTCCGTGCTCTGTTCTTGGCCTCGGAAAACAATCATTATTGCTCCACCTAAGGCAGGCTTCCCAGAGCTTGGGCTCTCGCAGCTGTCTCCTCCTAGGACGGCATCATCTTGTTCAGATGTTTGTCTTCTTGCATGATTCTGTGATGATCCAGGCACATCAAGCCAAAAGGGGGAAAGTAAAAGCCCCAGATCACAGTATCTTCCCTGCTGTTGGCTGAGTCCCAAGACGGGGCCTTCAGGGCCAGTGCCACCCCAGGCTGCAGAAGCACCCATGCCAGCCACCTGCAGCTGGGCCCATCCACAGAGCTAGGCATCCACAGGGCCAAGGGGACATGCACATCTTGTGTCTGACCATCTACTCCCTGCTGGAAGCTCATCCAGGAACCTGGAGTATCCTCTCCAAATGGCTCCAAGTCCATTTCCAGGGCTGAGGTAGACCTCTTCCCCCTCAACCTTACCCCNCCTGGGCATTATTACCTGACAGCCACCTGTCTGTGCTCACCCCCTCAAGCCCCCGTGGGCGCTGTGGATCCTTGGTGATAACAGGCCCTGTCCTGCCTCAAACTGACCACCAAGTTACCTCTTGGGCACAGGCCAGAGGGACCCCTGCACCGGCAGGTGGGAGAGAAAGGCACCCTCTGCTGTCCTTCAAGGCAGAGGAGGCGGGTGAGGAAGGTGCTCTTCAGCGGGAAGCAGCCACACAACACTGGCCACAATCTCGGCCTCCCACGCGCGGCTGTGTGGCCCTGGGTGAGTCCCCCAGCCTCCCTGGAGCTTTCAGTGTCCCCAAGTTAAAATGGGGACATTAACAGTACCTGCCTTGTAGAGTGAGACAATCAAATGCAGCCAAATCACGTGTAGCGTGTCTGGCATTTCACCTTTCACGTAACAAATGATCAAAAAAGATGGGGCTGGTCAGTGGGGTTTTCTAGAGGCCGTAGGGTCAAGTGGAGAAGGGCAGGGAAGTGTGGACAGATGGGGGTCTAGAGTACCACCTGAGGCCCGCAGTGACTTCTACAGTGTCCTCGCTTAGCAAGTGTGGGAAGGGGTTTCTCACTGAAAGAGAACGTGGCAGGGTAACCTAGGACGGCGGACAGCGGTGCCACCTGGTAAAACAGCCTGGGACCCACCCTGCCTGCCGCGCCTGCCCCGAGCCCGGCCCAGAGCCGCCCTCCCGGCCCGTTCACCTGAGCCTGAAGCTGTCGCGGTCCTCCCTGTTATACTCCACGGCGGAGGGCCCCCGGCTTGCCCCGCTNTGTGGGAAGGAAGGGGACTGGCTGCACTATGGCCTGGGGCCTCAACTTGTGTCTAGCTCCAGCCCCACATTGTGAAAAGGGGGAGGGGACTGGTCACAGCTTTCCCATTTCCTAAGGTGCCTAGGGAGCTATTTGCAACAGCACTTGTGAAAAGTACCAGAATTGCAGTCTGGAAAGAAAAAAACAAAAAACACACCTATTTATTTATAGAACTTTGAAATGGATTGAATTTCATTTTACTTTAAAAAAAAAAAAAGTCTAGTGAATCTATTTGTAATGTAATTTAAGCCATTTGTTTTCTAAAATTCTTTGGTTAGAACTTCAAAAATATTATCAAAATCAACATTTACAACATGTAAGATCACTGCTGAGCACAAGGTAAACCAAGACAGGATGTGGAGGCACAAGGTGGGCCTGGGGGTCCCTCTGCGTCTTTTCCTCTGTGTCCCCAACAGTCCTCACAGGAGCTGAGAACTGCTGCTGGCTCCCACTCAGGCAGGGGAAGGAGGTCCTCCCCCAGGGCACAAACATGCCTCTTCTCCATCTCTCCAGGACACAGGGCCGTCCAGGAACGCCATGCAGTTTGGTCATCAGTTGGTTCTGGTCATCAGCTGGTTTTGAATCATAACCTAATTTTAAACCTTTCTTCTAAGGAGAGTGGAGTAGTTAATGTGTATTTTCAAGGAAAATAACCCAGATACTCTTGATGAATAAAATCCAGAACCTTTCCTTTCTCGTGAGCCCAGTGAAGTCATCTCCCGGGAAGCATACAGAAGAGAACCTTAAAATGCACCAAGTGTGAGGACTGTCAGTAGTCACGTGTGACTATTAAAAAATCACATTGTTGGCTCAGAGCTGTCCTCAGACTTCAGGGAACAATGGAGGTTTCTTGTATCTCCAGGTAGTGAGGCTATTTCCCCAGTCACCTGGTGGGCTGTCCAGGTTGCATGTTCTAATTTCTGTCCCACTGAACAGTGACCCTCCTCCGCTGGGCAGGTACCTAATACTGTAACTCGAGGACAGGACAGGCAAACGCTTTCTGTAAAGGGCCACACAGTAAATACTTTAGGATTTGCAAGCCATACTGTCACAACTATTCAGCTCTGCCACTGCAGCATGAACGGAGTCCTAGACAATATACGTGAATTGGCGTGGCTGTGCTCTAATAAAATTTACTTACCAAAACAGGAGGCGGGACATGGGTGCCCTGGGAGCTGTAGTTTGCTGACCCCTGCACTGGGATTTCAGACTAAAAGCATCCCAAGGGCAACTCCCCATTATAAGGGGCAAGGTCAGCAAGGGTCATATGGCTGGTGGACCCTGAACACCCAATGCTTGTGTAATGGATCCCTCCCTGTTGCAACCTGGAACCATGAGGTCCACTCTGTGAGATCTTCAAGACGGTGCCACTTCCCTGATCCACCCCAGGGTTACTTTGCTCTCAGGAATAGAGCCACTCCAAGCCCGGGGAACTATATTCCTGCCTCATCTCTCTGTGCCTTTATCGTAACGTCAACTGGCAGGTTCCAGGGGATTGGGTTCCAGCCCTGGCATCGGCGCCAAGTCCCAGCACTGGTGACTTCCTTCCACCTCCCTTCCCTCCTCTGTAAAACGAGGGAGGGAGATTTAGCAACCTCAGTCTCTTCCAGCCCCAACACCCTGAAGTCCTATGAGCTAGAAGGCTGTGCTCTCTGAGCAGCACATGCCATGGCAGCCACAGAGCCACCCAGTCTGCTCACAAGTTCTCCTCCCACAGGACGGGAGTCAGGAGTGCTGGGTTCTAGTCTGATTCTGTCACTTCAACCCTCGGGCTTCTGTGTCCGTATCTTTACACTGCAAGGTGGATCCAGGCCATCTCCAGGGTCCCCTTGGGCACTAATATTCCATGACCTTGTGAGCTGCCAGACCCTGGGGACCATTTTCATCCAGGTAGCCAGGAGACACCACCTAAACCAGTTTAACTTTTCTCCGAGCTGTGAGATTCACAGGGCTCCCCCGTAGGCCCCTTCTCCTTGATCACGAACGGTCTCCCTGTCCCCTTCCAGGGATCCATGACAACACGGTTACAACTAGCTCGTCAAGTGCGGTGACATCTGCATCCCTGACATTCCAATCTGGAGCCGGTCTGTTTATAGCCCAGGCGGTGGGAGGACCTGCGACAACTGCAGCTCAGATGGGATGAATTTAGCACCTCGGGCCGGGAGGAACCTGTCGTCCTTCGACTGCACAAAGCTCCCGTGGGCTGCGTTCAGGGTGGCCCCAGCAGTCCCATCACGCCCCTCGCTGGTTCCAGGATGAGGGGGGTTCAAGGACAGGAGCGTGGTGCCCTCGCTGGCCCGCCTGCCGGCGCCGCCTCTCCTCACGGCTGCTCGTTTGAAGCCCACCCCAGAGAGTCGGCTGTCAGTGGCAAAGTCTCCAAGGGCCAGGGGTGAGTGAAGTCGAGGGCCCTGCCCCTTACAGACTCAGTAATTAAAAAGTTCCTTGACAAGCCGGGCAGCCTCCGGGCTTGCCTATCAGTCTCTGCTGCGGGCATCTCAGAGGAACGGAGGCCTCTTTTTTACCAAATGCAGTTGGCACAGTTCCTTTGCACTCACAGGGCCCCCACACAGCCAGTGCCCAGCTGGACCTATCATGTTGGAATAACTGCAACCTAAGCTTCCACATGTGAGTCATCCAGAATATACTTTAAAGGAGGCACTGGGGAAAGGCTGTTTTAGTAAGACATTTCCAACCCCAGGAATGCTGGCCCCAGCAACACTGACTGCCCCACGGACACACCCAACACAAACCCCACAGGACCCGTGTGCTCTGTTCACGCCAGGAGCCCGTGTCCCTCCCTCCTGCATACTTGAAACTGCTTGCTTCAGGGTGGTGTTACCAGCACCCCTGCTAGTGCTGACCCTGAAGGTCAAAAGCTGCCAAGTTCAGTGACCACCCCAGGGCCCCTTTAGCTGTGAATTCCTGCACAAGGCACAGATCACACAAAACACGGGCTCACAGCGGCCTCTCAGCCTTCGGGCTGGATCGAACTGGGCCAGCTCCTTCTCGACGTAGTACAGGACCTTCATGGAGTCCCGCTCCTTGTCCGCTTGGATCCGGTAACCTTTGCGAACTGTTGAGAAAAAGACAAGGTGAGCTGAAAACCAGGAGGCCAGACCGCCGTGTCTTACCAGCAGCTCTCTCTGAACCCGCTTGGACCAGTCATCTGTATGTAAACGCCTGAGGTCCTTTCTCACAAGGTGCCCCGGGGCGGGGGACCAGCAGGTCAATGACAGAACCCTATTACGGGGCATTTCCAGTCACTGTTACCCTTCCTGTCTCCCCACCTCCGACAGCTCCCCTTGGGGCTCATCTTCTCAAAGCTCAGGACTCTGTTACTTAAATACTCACCCTAGGAACAGACCACTTTCTAGATTGAGGACACAGACCGCTCTAAGTCTGAGGCTCACACCTTCCCTTGGTGGGGGTACCTGTGACTTTAAAACGGACACCTCAACATGAGGGACCTTGATAAGGGGGCCTGGCCGCCTCAGGTTGCCTGGGGGACGGTGCAAATCCCATAGCTGGGTGGTGCGTCGAGCTGATACGAGATTACAGGCTACATGCACATCAGTCCGACAGAGGATGCACAGGACATGGTGACCATTGTCATGTTTCCTTTATGGACAGGGAACACTGTAGACATGAGCAATCCAACCTGCTGCTGGCTGTGTGGTTACAAGCAGGTATTAGTTTCAGGGCTTAATGACAGACAGAATTAAAGCAGCAGACACTCCTGTCCCTCACATTCCTATCACTCGTATTGTCAGGGCCAAAGGCTGCTGGCGGCCCGCATCCCTTCAGCATCAGTCTAGCCCAGGGCCAGCCCCGGGGAGGTCTAATCGTCACAGAGGACAGAGCAAGGGCAAAAGAAAGGAGCAAATGGGGGAACAGCACTCATGGCAACAGACACGACGGGCAGAGCATGCGCCGGGCGCTCGCCAAGCCCCTGGCATGGCCATCGCTCCTCACGGCGGCCGAAGGAGGTGGTTCTCAGCCACAGCGGATGGTGGAGAAAACTGGCTCAGAGGGCTTCCCAGCTCGCTCGGATCCCCGGCAGCGCCAGGGCAGGGACCGTGCCGTGTGACTGGTCCACCCCGACTGGCCATCTTGCCTGTCCTGGCGTCTAGGATCACAGCAGGAAGGAGACGGGACAGGAAAGAGCCCAGAGTAGGCAGTGCCCGCGGGTGGCGAGGGCACTGTGCTCTGGGGCACGGTCCTGTCTTCCAGCCCCTCAGGACTAGACCATGAGACGGAAGCAGGTGGCCCACCTCCAGCATCCCGGTCCCGCAGCGAGGCGGGCGCATAAAGCAGCCGCGCCAGCACGTGCCTCCGGCTCTCTGGCCGTGTTCCCTGGCCGTGCGCGTGGGAGGCTAAAGTGTACTATTCCACAGCCCCAGGCACAGCCCTGGCCCTGCGGAGGCCACACGCCCCTGGCAGGGGGGCTGGCGCCATGTGAGAGCGTGCTGGGCAGTCCTCGCTCACCTCCAATGTGGCGTTAAAAAAGCAACGAATCCCAGCACAGGCTACTTAGCGGCTCCTTCTCCTGGAGGTTAGATCCATAATCTTTTCGCAGAAGCAATTATTAGCAGAAAGATTTTACGTATCAGGCTGCACAGGCTCCCGTCTCTGCAGAGGCGTTTGCAGAGTAGTACAGACAGTTCAATTAAAACGCAATTATCCCACCAGGCTGCTCTGTCTGTTCTGAGGCAGTTACATCTGATGGGGAGACACAGGGCCGGGAGGTGGGGAGCTGGGCCCTGTGGACATCCACTGGTTTATCAAGGGACCTCAAATAAATGGTGACCTCTCTGGGACTCAGTTTCCATGTCTGTAGAAGGCAACTAATACTTCCCATCCTTTAAATAATCTCTTAAAGAAGAGAAGATATAGCCTGGCTGGGTGTGGCTCAGCGGTTGAGCGTTGACCCAGGATCCAGGCGATCGGGGTTCGATTCCCGGTCAGGGCACATGCCCAGTTGTGGGCTTGATCAGTGACTCTCTCATCATTGATGTTTCTGTCTCTCTCTTTCCCTCTCCTTTCCTATCTCTGAAATCAATAAAGATATATTTAAAAAAAAAAAAAAAAAGAAGATATAAAAGACCAAAATCTGAGGAACCGGGCAAGTTCTCTAGTTATTAGGGGCAGCTCAAATGTCATCACTTTTAAAAGACTCTGATACTCGTTGCTAGAGAAGTTCTAGCTCTTCTCTGTCGCACTCCTAACTTACAAATGATTGTTTGAACTTTCATCACAGCCCTTCATATATTCTAGTGTGTTTCAAGTTATTTGTAGAAGTGGGTAATCTTCCCAAAGATTCTGGAGGGACAGGAATCCTTATCACTCTGCGTAAAAAACACACAACCCTAACACATAGTAGGCACTTAATAAGTGTTTGTTGAGCTCAATAGCTGCCAGCCTGGGATGGAGTGGGGTTCATGGTTTCTTTAGAAGTATTTTCAGTAGAATTTCCCTCTCTAGACTGTCAATCTCCTGAGGACAGGACCAGTTCTCTGTTTATCTCTCATCCCCAGCACCTAGCACAGTGCCTGGCACACTGCAGACATTCAGAACATGTGTGTTTGAGTGAATGAGTGAATGAATGAATGAATGAATGAATGGGAAGGAAATCAGGAACAGAAGCTATATTACAAGGGATTACAGATTAAGGCAGGAAAGGCCATGCAGGTGGTTTGCTGGAGAATTTTGACCAGGAAGGAGAAGGCTTGAATGGTAGCTTGAGGGAGCAGCAAGGTTTAGGTAAGTTTTTATTATTATTGATGATTTCCTAAGTAAAGAAAATAAGAATGTTTGTAGGCACTAGGGAAGGGAACTACTCTACCTGTGGCTGTGGCTTTATCTGGGTGTTCTTAATTCACGAAGCACCGTTACGGTCAACCTTCAGTAATAAATCCTGAGATGGGGGGTGTTGTTCTGTGGAACAATGTCTATGTGCTGCCCCTGGCACGAGAGACGGCTACCACCCAGAGAAACAGCTGGAAGCCTCTCCCTTAGCTGCAACTTGGGCTGGAGCTTAGATTGTTTTATGTCATTATGACGCAGATTTGATACGTATGCCAGGTTCTCAGGTCCCTGAAACGTTACACTAGCCATTCCCAGCTCCAATGAAGCCGCAGTTTTCCCTTTCGATCCTGGCTGTGTAAAGACTCCCTGCACTGGATACTTTCAGCTTTGACCTCCCAGTCCCACAGGCCCAGGACTTCAGAAATCTAAATCCCTCTCATTTGTCAAAAAGGACAGAGGCAAAGTATTGATCTTGAGACTTTAGAGGCATCATGCATTTGGTCCCAGTAGCTGAAAAGCTAGGCAATTCTCCCTCGAGAGGTGCTGGGTTTTTTCATCGCATGCTCTCAATTCCATTGCATGGGCACTGTAACCGATTCTCTCATGCTGGTCGGAGCTGGCCGGTCCCCAACATGCTCAGGAGAATAAAGCACCGCAAGGCCTCTCCTGACCCTCTAAGCGGGTGGGACCTTTCTCTGAGGCGGCACGAGAGAACAGCCTATCGAATGCTGCAGTAGTTCCATTTATTAGGCCCCCAGCCACTCTGCTAGACCACACGTTCCTTGAGGGGAAATTTATAAGCATGTATGAAAATTTTCTTTTAATCTGAAAAATAAATAGAATGGTATCTGGTTGATTTTTGTCTATACTTTGTCTGAAGATCAGAGAACTCTGATAGGTGGTGATATTTTAATAAGAAAGGTCCTAGACCAAAGTCCAGCATTTTTTTGGAAAATGACTTTTTTTCTCCATGATGTTTCAGTTTAGGGTGGATGGATGATTTTTCTCTTTTCAAGTTCAGACCGCTCCACGTCCTTTGGTTGGTGTGGCTTCCTACGTCAGCTTCTCTAATTTATTAGCCTTGCCGACTTTGCTTTCACCAGAGAGGAAATATTAGGATGTTCATTTTCATGCCACACTCTAATTTTTAAAAATTCTTATTTGAGCTAATACTTTTGACTCCATTAAGGCTCAACTATTTTTCAGTTAATTTCCCCATTGCAGCCAAATGAAACTTATCGAACCTGCACATGACGTCCCTAAGGCAGGTACCCATGGCTATAGCCTTCTCTGAGTCCTGGCACAGCAAGCTAAGCGAGGCTGTTTGTGGGTGACGGAACAGCTGCCAGGTTCCACCCCCGGGGGACAGCAGCGCAGCTGTGGGGGAAGTGATGCTGGAATTTGCATGCTCCCTGTATGCATACAGTAGGCATATATATAGACACATCCTTATTAGTTTTCAAAATGACATTTCCAAACCCTACCTGCCTACTCAGTTCTTTTGTGAGAAGGCTGAGTGAGGGCCAGGGGGATGTGATGAATGGGTCAGAGCCAGGAAGAGTGGATGCGGAAAGAGCCGGAGATTATTCCATTCATCCAGGCGGGAGGTGGCGGCACTGGAGGCGGGGAGTGAGGGAGGGACGAGAGGAGGGTGAGGTCCCCGCTTCTGGTAGGGGCTAGTGGGTGGGCAGTGGTGCCAGCCACTGAAATAAGAAGCGGCGAGTTGAAGCTGACAAACAGCAGATTAATTCCGCTTTCGGGGGGCGGGGGGCTGAGTTTGAAATGCAGGGTAGAGACTGCGAGGCGGGTGGACGTGGGGGACCGAGGGTCAGAGGAGAGGGCAGAGTCGTTGGCATACACAATGGCCAGAGCCTGGGAGCAGGTACGACTTCCCAGGGAGGGGACACGGTCAAAACAGGGGCACCAACCTCTGGGCGCGCAGAGGAGCAGGTGGCGCAAGAGGCAGGAGAGACCAGAGCGCAGCGCAGCGCGAGGAGGCAGGGCAAAGGGCCGCGGCGGGTGGGGGACTCGAGGGGCAGGCTGAGGGTCCGTGGGCGCAGCAAGGAGGCGAGCCCGGCAGGCGCCCGTCTGCAGCCACGGCGGGAGCAGACACGGTCTGGGGAGCTGACGCGAGCCCACGTGAACCGTGCAACAGTCTTGCAGGGCGTTTGGCGGTGGAGAGGGAAGGGAGGTGAGGACGTACCCGCAGCGGCCTAGAGGGTTTTGCAGATTGTTGTGTTCTGAAGGCTGATAGGAAAGAGTCCCTAAAGGAAGGCTGGAGATGTGGGGTGGGAATGGGGTACAGTGGGGATATCCAAGAAAGAGAGAGCTCAGGGGGTGGATCCGGAGCCTGGGAAGAGGTGGGCGTCTTCCAGTGTGAGAGGTCCCAGCCAGCCTCGACGACGAACGGGAGCGGGAACCGCTGCCTCTCAGCCCCCCACTCGGTAACCCACTGGCTGTACTATGCACAGCTCGTCCAAGATGCCTTTCCAGCCACCCAGGGTTCCAAAGAGAGTTGTGTACAAATGGAATCTGAAAAAATTACTGTTGCTAGGTGACTACCCCAAAATTGAGGTAGCATATAAATATAGGCTAAATGTGCATCTTTATAAACCAGCATTTCTTCACGTTTCTAACATGCTTTAGAGAATAATCCACATGGAACGTTGGCGCCATCAGTCATTCTGGCCATGGGACCATGAGGACAGAGGTGTGCTCGGCGGGATGAGCACACAGGCTGGCTGGGGTTGACACTGGTTGTGTGACGGCCCCTTTTCCTTGCTAACTAAGAGCCCTGATTTTGTTCATTTCCAGGGTCAATAGGTGTTTTGGCCTAAAGATGAGTCTTGACTAGTCCACGCCAATCTGGTTTAGGAAGGGACATGGGGCACAATTCTCGAGAATAAGACTGTGAGACGTCTGCGAGAAGGAGGGGGGCTTCTGGCCAAGTCCCCTCACTCCTGAGAAAAGCAGCATATGGAAGAAGCGTATGTTTCCTGCCTCTGGATGCATGCAGTCCCTGAACTGTGGCAGGCGCTGCGGGAGAACCAGGGAGTGCTCGGGAGGAGCGCGCAAGAATGGGGTCCTTTAGTGATGTCCCCCGAACTGCTCCATTAGCCAACCCCAGGGCCACCTCACCCTGGGTTTCTTGCTGTGTGAAATAATACATTTTCCTACTTCCAGGCCTCTTCTAGTTACATTGGTTAGTAAGGCAGGATGGGCCAAAATGACAGAAGTGCAACAAAGAGGAGCTGAGAAAACACTGGAAACAGGAGAGGAAGGACCTGCCATTCTAGAAATATGAATAATTTCATCCTGAGGCTCCTGAACTGCAGTGTGGGGGGAGAGGGAGGGTTCTGGTGGGAAGGCGGGAGAGAGACTGGAGAAAAGCTCCATGAATGGCTAACCCTGGTCCTGGCCCTGGCCCTGGCCCATTCCATCCCCGGGACCCAGCTGCACTCTCTCCCCCATTCCCTGTGTGTCCTTGATCGTTGACTTCTACTTCTCAGTCTGTGACTCATTTCCGGTCTCAGCAGGATTCTATGGATAATTCCAGGGAAAGGAAAAGCAGATACGATGACTCACTGGGGACCCGCTCCCTCCACGGTCAGTCAGCACTGATGGCTCACTAAGTGGGCGAGGTCCTCAGCCCACTCACCCCTGAAGGCGGCCAGATGCTTCCAGGGCAGAAGTGTCTGCTCTCCCCTCCCTAGTGGCTCATCCACGTCTCGTCTTGGGATTTATAAATCACCCCCCAAGTCTCCTGCACACACAGCTCCAACCCTACCGCTCCGTAACCCTGGTCTGACGCCTCCAGGAAAGCACCACCTCAACACCCCCTGCCTTCCACCCGGCCCAGCCTGTACCGCAGTTCATCACCTAAGTGCAGCCGATCTCCTCTAGGTAGGTCTCCTCGCCAAGAGTCCACTTCTGTCCGTGGTATGCACCACTGGACACCGAGGTGCCTCTTGAATGTTCCCTCGTTCCCTCAAGTCTGATCATTTCCTCTCTCTAAGCATCTAACTGCCCACTCTTTTCAGCTCCCATCGTCTCCATCCAGATGCTCCATGTCCCCCCCGAACAACTTCAGTCACATCTCAGCTCCGGGGGTCTGACTCCACTCTCCCACACCTACCATTTGCCCTGAGAGCATGTCACCTCTCCGCTCAGGAGTCTGCCTGTCATGACTCTCATCAAGCCCCAGCTCTCCTGGGGGGAGGGGTTCAAGGCTCCACAATATTAGGGAGTCAGACCAGTAAGCTGGACACCATCAAACACACACAGCATGTTCTCCCAGCTCTGGCTTCCACCCTCCTGCCTCCTGAGGGTGCACAGTGACACCCCCCCTCCCCGCTCTGCTCTCCCAATCCTCTTATTCCTCCAGGCCCAGCTCAGGGCTCACCTCTTCTGAAGACTTGGCAGCCACTCCAGCTCTCTCTGCTTTACTCTCCCAGTCCCACACTCTTTAGCATCTAATTGCCTTCATAAAGGTCCATCCTTCTGCCCCGGCTGGACCACACTGCCTGGGCACACCCATGTCCTACACTTTTCGGTGCTCCTCACAGTACCAGCTAGCCCTGAGCACTAGGTAGGGATGAGAAAACTATTTCCTGACCTCTGGAGTGGAGATAACCATCTTCCAAAGAAGCATCCCCGAGCTAACGGCTGTCATCAGCTAGTAGCCAGTGTGGAA